TTCTCACCTTGCACAGATGTTAATCTCAAGGGAACTTCCTAATAAACATCCTGAGCACTAAGTTCTGCCTTGGGGTCCACTACAAGAGAAGTGTTCTGGGGTAGTGTGGAAAGAGCACCCCCTTTACTGGATTCTTTCATTGGACAGATATCCCCCAGAGCACCTGCCATGTCCCAGGCATTGCACTGGTCACTGGGATGCAAGCTTGCGTTCTAACTGAAGAGACCAGTGGGTACGCACAAATTACAGGAAGTATAATCAAGGATGTAGAGACTGCTCTGGGAATACGAGGCAAGACTTCGGAGCTCTAGAAACTCTCCTGAGTAAAGTGATGTCTCCTGATGGATGGGTAGGTGGAAGTTAGGCCAGTCTGTGAATTGGGGGATAGAGGAAGGTCTCCAGCTGAACACGCAGCAGATGCAGAAGCTTGGAGGAAGAGCATTGAACATGTGAAACAGAGATTACAGTGGCTCAGACTTGGGTTTCCTAGCTGGCTCTGTGAAGATATGTGACCTTGGGTAAGGTAAATTGACTGTATGCTAGTCTCAAAAGATGGCATCTATTTCCCCTCCCATCTGGGCTGGCTGTGTGACTGACATTGACCATAGAATGCAGCAGAAATGATGCTGTCGCTGTTCCAGGCTGGTCCCTAAGAGGCAGGGCAGCTGCTGCCTCAACTCTCTTGGAGTTCCAGACCACCATGTAGGGTCTAACTGCCTCATTGGAGAGCAAGGCCTAGCCAGCCCCCAGCCACTTGAGCCACCAGCATAAATGTCTTAGATGCATTAGTAGATTTGCTCCAGCAGAGGTTACAGGGAGCACAGTTAAGACATCCCACCAAGCCCTGCTCAAAATGCAGACTTAGGAGAAATCAATGGTTGTGGTTTTAAGCTACTAAGTTATAGGATGGTTTGTTTTATACCAATGGAGAAATGATATCTTGGGCCCTTCATACCACAGTTTGGCCATTGGTAAAATAGGGGTAATAAACCTTAGCTTCAGGGTTGTGATGAAGCTCAGGGTCAGATGAGTGTAGCCTCTCAGGAATGTCTGACTCTCTGACCTATATTTCAGGTGACTGCATACCTTCTTTTCTAGATTTCGACCCTCTTGAGGATAAGATTTGACAATGTCCACAGAAACTGCATCTGAGTCACTGTGACATATCCCTGCCTATGATTCCTTGGTGTTGCAGGGCACAATTAGACCCAGCCTGGACCCCCAGGGCATCTAATCCAGTGAAGAGAAGAGGAGAAGACAGATATAAAGGCAATGGCCTGCCAGTCCCTTTTTTTATTTTGTAAGTATCCACCATTCACTTACACTGGAACATTGACTTTTACTCTGTGCCAGGCCCAGGCCGCACACTAGACTCTCTCAATGCTGAGAAGTAGGCACATCATCCCCATCTTACAGATGAACAAACAGAGGTCCTGGGTTTTGACGCCAGTTCTGAGAGCTCAGGGCCTATGTTCTTTGGCTATAATCAATTCCTGTCCTAAGGCCCTGCATTCCTTCCTTCACAAAAGGCTGGGTAAATGCCCTGTGGTCAGATGTGTGTCTGCTCCCAAGGAGCAGCCCAGGGCCCTACTAGTTCTCAGGGCCAACACTGTCTTGGCAGCTCTACAAGATATCCCAGCTGTTCTTAGAGGAAGTCACCATAAAGACTCTGGGGCCTCATGCCTGAGAGGATGGTTTTGATGGATGAATAGGAGTTTAAGGTGGCCAAGGTGGGAAAAGGGGGAATTCTAGCCAGAGAGAAAAGGCTATATAAATATGTTTATCACAGTATTGTTTATAACAGCAAAAATTGGAGACAAACTAAATGTCCATCAGTAGCAAACTAGATAAATCAACTGTGGTCTAGTCACACGATGAAATCCTCTACAAGCATGAAAATGAGTTAGAGCTGCATGGATGAAGCTCGCAAACATAAAGTTGAGCAAAGAAAAACAAGTTGTATATACACTTTGTATGATATTGCTGTATAAGGTTTAAAATCATGTGAAACATACTAGATATTGTTCAAGGGCCCTTACTTTTGAAACTAGGACGTGATAAGCACAATACTCAGAGTGGTGATTACCTCTGGGGAGAAAGGGCTCACACAGGGAACTTCCACTCTATGAGTTCTTTATGTAATTATTTCTTAGGTGGTACAGGAGGTACATGAGTGGCCATTATAATATTCTTTATATATTTTGGCGATCCGAAATATTTCATTAATAGTTTTATTTTTAAGTCGATGCAAAAACTAAAGGCCTTGAAGGCCCTGAATGCTCCAGCATTCAAGTTTAACATGTTTTGCCTGGAGAAAATGGAGCCCCTTCTGAAACAACTGGAAAAGGCAGGTGTGGATGCCCCCAGGTATCCACAGGTAGCAAGCAACTTGCATCGACCCAGACACCGTATCCCTTCCCTGGACAGGCAACACCCCATTCCCCAGTATCAGCTACCCAGGGCCCACACACGGAGATACTGTTGGGTTGGGAGTAGGTGGAAAAGGCTGGAGGGACTCAACAATGTCTGATCCTGAAAAGCCATTGCTCTTCCTGACTTGGGTTCCTGAAGGGGAAGGGAACTGAAATTCCAACTGTTAATTTTGTAATACCTGCTCTGGGCTGGACATTTCCCACAGTAGCCCTGAGAGGTAGGGGCTGAATGTTCATTTACAGATGTAGAAACTGAGGTTCCACAGAGTAAGTAAATTGCTGAAGTCTCTAGTCCACCTGTCCCCAGAGAGACGCCCCTCATGCCCCTTGGCTATTTCTCCTGGGAGGAGTCTGCCTAGGCAGGGTGCCTCTGCAGAATTCAAGGGCAGGGATTCCTCCTGGAAATAGCCTCTCCTGTGGGCCCTGTTATGCCAACAGGCTTGGCAGATGGTTAGTTGCCAAAACACAGAGCATGCTGCGTTCTCAGGACGGAGGCCAGGTCACCCCTCACTGCTGTGCACACTGCTCAGGCAAGACAATGGGGTGGACCCCACTATTGGCAGAGAGAGCTTTCCTAGACCTGGTCTCTGGTATGCCAGGCCCTCTTTACAGCACCTGAGCCCCTGACTCCCATGGAGGGGCCAGGCAGCAGCAGGGCACAGAGAGGAAGCACTCATTTACTGAGCTCTGGCTCTGTACAGGCATTAATTTCACTAACACATTCCATCCCCATTCCACACCTGCAAGATTCAGTGTGATTACCCGGGGAAGAAAAACCGAGGTTCCAGATGCTCAAGTAACTAGCCCAGGGCAAGGTGGCTAAGGTTCAAGATCTGAACCTTAGATCTGAACATGGCCATTCGATTCTGAACCTCGATGCTCAGTCCTCTGTTCTGGCGCAGCCCCTCAACCCTCAGCCTAGGCCAGAGCATCAGCAAGAAAGCTATGTACAGAGTTTGGGCCCAACCCCGGGCCACAACCAACCTGCACCAGACAGCTGGGGAGGCTGGGGTTG